CCCCACCAGGAACACATACCGAGCAACAAACACCTGGTGACACAAAGTGCCACCATTCGGATGAGAATCACCCGGGATAAGTCCCACAATCCCTGTTCAGTTGCTATGTAGTCATTATATTTCTTTATCGCGGCTCTGAAGACGAACATCAAATACGACAAGAAACATCACGAACTAAGTGTTTACCAGAGATGAGTCACACGATAGTTGACTTAGCCAGCCAGAATTTCAAACCGCGCCCACATTAACTCATGGTCCCCACTCATCAACAGACGTGTTTGTAGAAGTTAGTTTCAGAAGTAAATTTCATATCCTGAATGGTAACAGTCTTTTGAAGATAAACGGTTCAGAGTTTCTGGGTGCAGTCTGTCTCATTATGTCATAAATGTCTAGGGATAACCAAACTGACTGGTGGAGACCCAAGAATGGTTTAAATAACTGGTTGGTGGGGACCCAAGAATGGTGTGAAAAACTGGCCGGTGGAGACCTAAAAATGGTGTGAATGACTGGCTGACGGAGACCTAAGAATGGTGTGAATGACTGGTTAGTGGAGACCTAAGAATAGTGTGAATGACTGTTTGGTGGAGACCTAAGAATGGTGTGAATGACTGGTTAGTGGAGACCTAAGAATAGTGTGAATGACTGTTTGGTGGAGACCTAAGAATGGTGTGAATGACTGGTTAGTGGAGACCCCAACAATGGTGTGAATGACTGGTTAGTGGAGACCTAACAATGGTGTGAATGACTGGCTGGTGGAGACCTAAACTTGGTGTGAATAACTGGCTGGTGGAGACCTAAACTTGGTGTGAATAACTGTTTGGTGGAGACCTAAGAATGGTGTGAATGACTGTTATGTAGATACCTAAGAATGGTGTGAATAACTGGCTGGTGGAGACCTAAGAATGGTGTGAATAACTGGCTGGTGGAGACCTAAGAATGGTGTGAATAACTGGCTGGTGGAGACCCACGAAAGGTGTGAATGACTGGTTAGTGGAGACCTAAAAATGGTGTGAATAACTGGCTGGTGGAGACCTAAGAGTGATGTGAATGACTGGCTGGTGGAGAAACAAGAATGGTGTGAATGACTGGCTGCTGGAGACCTGAGATTGGTGTGAATGACTGGCTGGTGGACAAATAAGAATGGTGTGAATGACTGGTAGGTGGACAAATAAGAATGGTGTGAATGACTGGTAGGTGGAGACCTAAGATTGGTGTGAATGACTGGCTGGTGGACAAATAAGATTGGTGTGAATGACTGGCTGGTGGACAAATAAGAATTGTGTGAATGACTGGTAGGTGGAGACCTAAGATTGGTGGGAATGACTGGCTGGTGGACAAATAAGATTGGTGTGAATGACTGGCTGGTGGACAAATAAGAATGGTGTGAATGACTGGCTGGTGGAGACCTAAGATTGGTGTGAATGACTGGCTGGTGGAGACCTAAGATTGGTGTGAATGACTGGCTGGTGGACAAATAAGATTGGTGTGAATGACTGGCTATTGGACAAAAAAGAATGGTGTGAATGACTGGTTGGTGGAAACCCAAGATTGGTGCGAATAACTGGCTGGTGAAGATCTAGGATTTATGTGAATGACTGGCTGGTGAAGACCTAGGATTGATGTGAATGACTGGCTGGTGAAGACCTAGGATTGATGTGAATGAATTACCCTGTCAAGACTAGAGGCGCATTAGACAATCTGCAAGGCTATTCAAAATTATGCAAACACTTTCTTTAATATAAATTCCCTTGAATATACATCACATATTAATAATATACATACCAGAGAGAGAGAAACAGATATATATATATATATATATATATATATATATATATATATATATATATATATATATATATATTTATAGAGAGAGAGAGAGAGAGAGAGAGAGAGAGAGAGAGAGAGAGAGAGAGAAAGAGAGAGAGAGAGGGTATAATGTTAACAAACTTAAAACGGAGGTTATATGTGTTCAATATGGCTACCATCTGCTGCACGGCAAACATTTAAGCGGTAGCCGAACTCATCCCATTTAACAAGAAGTATCTTTTGTGTAACCTAGTTCACTGCAGCTGTGATTCGGTTCTGCAGGTCTGCAAATGCGCTCTACTTGTTACTATTCGATATTTTAGACCTTGATCTCTCTCTTGAATATATATATATATATATATATATATATATATATATATATATATATATATATATATATATATATATATATATGTCATTAAACTATATGTAAATATATAATCTATATTCAGGGAAATATACTCGAATGAAAGTGTATCCTCAATGTTAAATAACCCTGCATGATTTTAGATTTATCCCGAACGGTAATATGGTCTATGTTGCCTCCTCCCCCCTCCCCCCATTCAAACTACTTTTCTGGTACCTTGCTTAGAATGGATTAACCTCAGGAACCCTGTAAAGACAGTTAGTAAAGAACCTGTACAAGTTATATGTGAGTCTGGCCTACTGTGCTAGGGGTCATGAGGGCAAATCATACAGGCTGCCTTTATTTTCCATGACATTGCCTTATACCAGTTTCAGGCTGGGTCAACCTTAGAGCCAAGGTCAATTGTGAAAAAAGGCACACTCCATATGAATACGAACCCAAAATCTTCGTTCTAGCAAGCGAGCACCTAGCCTTTACGTTACAGCAGCTCTCCTGCACGTGAGCAGTTTAACATGTTTTAAGTAATCAGAATGTGTGACATCACAACTTATTTAATACGTAGAGTGGCGTTTGGGTGGCTGAAGGTGATATTATGAACAGCGTTTTCGGACCAGGACAATATCAAACTAAGAGCAGACTTGTACATCGAATGGGCTTTGCTAATTCTTCCGGATGTGGTTCGTGCACCATCAGAGCAAACTCCAGAGCATGTCTTACAGGATTGGCCAGACTTTGCCAGCCAGAGAGAAGACAAACTATGGGACAACGGTGAGGATCTCATGTCTTGTTTGTGATCCATTTTGGAGCAAATGCAGAGTCAACATTGATCGCTGAAGAAAAATAAGCGACGTTTAAGTGGCGCAAGCTTTCTTGACTTTCATCGTCTGGATTACATAACTTATTTGTGTCATCATTTTCTTTCTTTTGTGCAATTTAGTACAGTAAAACTTCGTTGAACGATCTCGAACGTGAGACCAACACTCAGATAACAACACATTTTGGGCCTCAGCTGAGATGTTATTATTCATCATAGACCTGTAAGTCCCCCGTTAGCACGGACTTTTAACATGAAATCTTGACATTTTTAGTATCTTGAAATTCGTTTTAACGAGGATTTACTGTATTTGACAGTCTAGCCTTGAAAGCTGTGACTTCTGTTTCAGACTTCTTCGTTTGATTCAGGAGTTCAGGTGTTATAATTATTCCTAATGCTAGTCGTTGCCGCTGCGAAGTTCGTGATTTGTGCAACGTGCGAGCGACTAGTCGCTGTAGATAGAGACCTTTCAATTTCGTTAAAGAAAAAAAAATTTTTTTTAATGTTTAGGTCGAAACTTTCTGTTGCATTTGTCCGCGTTCATTTCATTTTCTCGCTTTCTAGTAATTTTTAATGTTTTTATATTGTATTCAGGGAGTGTTGTCGTGATGACGAACCACAAAGTGGTGAACTAAAGAGCTACAAACATTACTATGATAATTCTAATTATGATTGTTCTATTTATTACTATTTTCAGACGATCTGAAGCTTTGGTAGCATCGTGAATTGCAGCAACTTAAACACTTTTCAGTATTAGCCGACTCATAAATGATGTACCTGACAATATAATTTGGAAGACCAGTCAAGAAAATATCCTGAAATCCTGTTAATCTCGCCAGTTTTAGAAACACTATTTAAAAAAAAAAAGAATAATTAATAAGTTGAACAGGAAGCAACAGAAAAGCATATGAAAGAGATGTTAAAAAAAAAAACTGATAGACTATTGTAAAGAAACAAAAAACATTACAACTGAATGACTAAACTGAGTCTTAATAAAAACAGGGTACAGCTACGAAATAAATACATTACAAACTGAACAATAAACAGATCACATATAAGAAACGAACAGAGTTGTAACTAACTATAAACTAATTAGAAACTAATTATTAAACACATTCAGGTTTATCAGAGATCTAAATTTAACTATTAAAGAAATAAAAACAATATCTAGTAAATAGGTTGGAAATACATTAACAACAGACTGGAAAACAATATACTAAGCATTAGAACGCAGCTATAACAGACAAGGTTTGTGGTGAATGGACACATTACTTTCTAACAAAATATAATCTACAGGATTATTAATCAAGAACACATACGACTATAGTGTTTTCAAGAACCTATACGAACAGTCTGTAATCACGAAATTACAAGACTCGTTTGTAATCAAGAACCTACAAGATTAGTATGCAGTTAAGAACATACAAAATTAGCAATCGAGAACAAACACACCTATTATGTAGTCAAAAACCTGCTTGAAAAGTACGTAAAAAAAAAACCTGACAAGATTGGTATTATTCAAGAACCTAAACACATAAAACTGTTGTGCATTCAAGAACCTACATTACTGGTGTGTAACTAAGAACAAGAACCTACATTACTGGTGTGTAACTAAGAACAAGAACCTACATTACTGGTGTGTAACTAAGAATAACAACCTTCATTACTGGTGTGTAGCAAAGAACCTACAAGTCAAAGTCACATTTAAGAACATTCAAGAATATCGGGTTGGGAAAGATGCAGGTGCGTTGTCTAAGAGAAAATATAAGTTATCGTAATAGAAAACAAACATTAATAACTAATTAGAGAACATAAGGAACAGGGTTTAAGGGACATACACTGTGAAATTAGAAAAACATAGTCTCGGAGAACATAAACGGGGGTCGTGACAACTGAAATAACATCGTTACTGCAATAACATGCAGTGAACTCGAACCAGGTAACTTTAAAGAACGTCGCCCAAGCAAATAGGGAAGAACACGAAAGAACAAACATAACGAGTGGATTAGAACCATGGATAACTATGGATACCGACCGGACAGCTGCGAGTTTGAGGGCCCTCCTGTTTATGAAGAAGCAGAGGAAGAGAAAGCAACTTTGATTGACGACTACCAGCCTGGAGGGTAAGCGTTTTGTTTAGGTGATAATCAGTACAGACAGACAGACAGACAGACAGGCAGGCAGACAGACAGACAGACAGACAGACAGACAGACAGACAGACAGACAGACAGACAGACCAGACAGACAGACAGACAGACAGACATGAAGGCAGGAAGGCAGATAGACAGACAAACAGACAGACAGACAGATGCATGGGTGGATGTTTAGATGGTTAGATAGATTGATAAAATGGTAGAAAAACTTATTAACTTACTGAGTGATTGAATGATTGGTGATCAAATGATTGATGACACCTTGGATCCACAGGTGGGACATCTTCAGAACCGAAAGAGATCAGTCGACTTCTTCGACTTCCGAGAGAAACATCTGGAAGTTCATCAATGCCATCGTCAAACTGCTCTTCTGTATCCTTCTCTTTGGACTTGTCCTGGGGACCAGCGTGCTGACCAAACTCATCTTCTTGGTGATGACATACAGGTACACAAAATGCTGTGCCGTCTCCACATTGAATGTTGGTTACAGTGCACACCCACTGCTGTCTTTAGAATATAACTTGCTGAGCTCATATCTCGTCCCTGGTGTGACTCTCGTACTGATATTCGAGAACCACGATAACGTTTGTTTTAAAAACAAATCTATCCAATACTGGCTTTCACACTGACTGCATCGTGTTTGTAATTCTGACATAAAACTGTTGGTGTTAGAACTTCTGATGGCTGCCTTGTGCGTTTAATTTGTGTGAGTGATATTTAAGATTTGCTGCGTCCGGCTTGCTTTTTACCAGTTCTCTAATGGAAAAGTGAAGTATATTTAGTGTGATTTAAGCTGGCACAAAAACGGAGCTTTTATGAGACAAGCCAAGTTTTGGGAAGTTGAAACCTTGACTAACGACCAATAAATATATATAAACCATCTACTACAGAAATCAAACTCTTGTACTTGGGGATCCAGAAATTATGAAACGCCTTCACTAAGCTTCAAGCTACAAAGCCTCACGACACAAATATTTTAACAATGACCTTTTTCCACGCCATTACACGTATTGGGCGTATAGGGCTAGACCTAAATTTTATAAGCCAGTCGGCACTTGGTAGGTAATGTGGTCAGCACCACGCCGGCCAATATATTATAACAGTATTTGCTATTAACCGGAGACTGGTTTGTACAGAGGTACAGTGCTGTTTTGTTCTTGTTAGTGTCGTTACACTCTAGACAAGCCTCTTACGTGTCTCTTCTTAAGGTGGAAATGCCTCAGCTGCCAGTGACACGACTACTCCAGTTTTATGTTGATGCTAAGAGCCTTCTTGTTTGTTCTTTTTCCTCTTCAGGAAGTAGTATTAGTTAAAGCTGTTGTAGTATTTAGTAAAAGTAGTGTTACTAGTAGTAGTCGTAGTAGTAGTAGTAGTAGTAGTAGTAGTAGTAGTAGTAGTAGTAGTAGTAGTAGTAGTAGTAGTAATAGTAGTAGTAGTAATAGTAGTAGTAGTAGTAGTAGTAGTAGTAGTAGTAGTAGTAGTAGTAGTAGTAGTAGTAGTAGTAAGAGGAGGAGGAGTAGCAGCAGCAGTAGTGTTGGTGGGCTGATTTGGTGGCAGACGCTGCAGCAACAATGGTAGAAGTAGCAGTAGTAGTGATAGTGTTGTTGATGGTACTAATATTAATACTTGTAGTAGAGTGGTGGAGGTTGTGAAAACAGCAACACAGAAACGGCACGGGAGAGGATTAGAAGCGGAAGTAACAGTTTAAAACACAACAAGGAGTAAAAAAGAATAACTGGCAGATTTTCCCCCCAGACTCCCCAGTTCTCTAATATTTTCTACAGTAAAGTCAAGAAAATGATTGTTTTTCCACGCCTGCAGACGTATTTGGGCATGTAGGGCTGACCTATATTTTTATAGACCAATAGGCACAATGGGTTATGTGGTCAACCTTCACGCCGACCAGCTTTACTTCTCAAGACTACACCTCGTACCCATTTAATTTTGGATTGACCTCGCAGCCAAGGTCATGAAACAAAAAATTCAGCTTCTTTCAGATTCGAACCTATAACCTTCGAATCCGCTAGCGAGCATCTAAACGCTACAGCACCGAGGCTCCCAACATTGTCTCGTTTAAAATACAAACGTTTGCGCTATTGCCTTCTGTTTGTATTTTTACTTGCAGAATCAATCCTATGGGGCAAGCAACAGAAATCACACTGGTGGACTCTGAGAACGCAACTATAGTTCTCAAGGTATGGCGGATTTTTTTGGATGCTTAAATCTAATCATGATACCGCACTGTATGTGTAGAGGTGTGAATCTAAAAGCGACTTACACCACAATAAAGCTTGGCTGCGATATAAACTGCCGAACATGGCGGTTCAGCTCCTTGGAGCCTTAAAAATTCTCTCTCTCTCTCTTTCTCTCTCTCTCTCTCTCTCTCTCGCTCTCTCTCTCTCTCTCTCTCTCTCTCTCTCTCTCTCTCTCTATCTATCTATCTATCTCTATCTCTCTCTCTCTCTCTGAGTTGGCCTGTTAAATTACATATTTTAATATACACTATTGGTTACCCTTTTTTTAAAGACAGCTTGGAAAGAAGGAACTGTACCTAGTTGAGTTGAGTTGAGTCAAGAATTGACATCACAGCACTCAGGGCATTCCCATGCATGCTCCGTCCTCATCTTCAGCAGACAACGAAGAGTTTTAGTACTGATGGTACCGGTCACATACTGGTTAAAATTTCCGTCTTGCCTTTTCTCTGAGTGTAGTGAGCCGGCTGGATCCTCTGGTTACACCCATGTGCCTCATTCTCTCCAGGTCATAATAATCTTCTTTCTTTTCTGATTCGGTTGCTTGTTCCCAAAGGGCCTTGACCACATTTGCCTTGCCATGTATCAGTACACCCCTAGTGGGGCAGATTCAGCCTATTTGTCTGCCTGTTCATTACCCACTACGCCGGCATTGCCTGGAGAAAGGATCCAAAGTATGCTCACTACCCGTGACCTTCCCAGTTAAGCTTATCAACTCTACTCGAAGCATGCCGGTCTTCACCTTTCTCAGCATGCCGTCATAGTCTTTTACAATTACGAAATGCTTATGCATCTTGTTCTCTAGCCACCGGAGAGCTGCAGTTACCGCCTCCACCTCCATTCTCATGATAGATGTTGTAATGTCGTATACCAGGCTGTCTTACACTACAGATTTTTCATTGGATTTCGCTACGAACCCCAGCACTTCTCTTTCCTCCCAATACCAAACCATCTGTATAGATAATGAGATCACCTAGGCGTGAATTGTCGTGAATCAACTGTTGGACTTTCACCTCAGTAGCACCCGCTGGCCACTGTCTGCACTCCCGGCCCAATGTGATCATAACCCTTCACAGGTCGGACATTTCCTTTGGTACTCTGACCCACTCCTTTCCTCGCCCAATGTTCTCCAGCTTGCATACTTGTCTTATTGTGTCTTCTGTTTAAGCCATCCACGATTTCTCCTTTTTCAGCCTCTGAAACCCACAGACAGCCAAAGCTTCATACAGAGGGTGTTCTTTGTCTGCAGCTACTTTGATGTATGACTTAGCCTGCAGAACCTTTAACCTATCTGCAATAGTCGGCAATGCAAGGATGTATCGCATACACACAATGAGAGTGTCTCTTGTACATCCCAGGATCCGCCTTATAGCTTCATTCTGTATGCTCTCCAGTTTCTCTAGCTGCCTCTTGTACATTCCAGGATCCGCCTTATAGCTTCATTCTGTATGCTCTCTAGTTACTCTAGTTGTCTCTTGTACATCCCAGGATCCGCCTCATAGCTTCATTCTGTATGCTCTCCAGTTTCTCTAGTTGTCTCTTGTACATCCCAGGTTCCGCCTCATAGCTTCATTCTGTATGCTCTCTAGTTTCTCTAGTTGTCTCATGTACATCCCAGGATCCGCCTCATAGCTTCATTATGTATGCTCTCTAGTTTCTCTAGCTGTCTCTTGTACATCCCAGGATCCGCCTTATAGCTTCATTCTGTATGCTCTCTAGTTTCTCTAGCTGTCTCTTGTACATCCCAGGATCCGCCTCATAGCTTCATTCTGTATGCTCTCCAGTTTCTCTAGTTGTCTCTTGTACATCCCAGGATCCGCCTCATAGCTTCATTCTGTATGCTCTCCAGTTTCTCTAGTTGTCTCTTGTACATCCCAGGATCCGCCTCATAGCTTCATTCTGTATGCTCTCTAGTTTCTCTAGTTGTCTCTTGTACATCCCAGGATCCGCCTCATAGCTTCATTCTGTATGCTCTCTAGTTTCTCTAGTTGTCTCTTGTACATCCCAGGATCCGCCTCATAGCTTCATTCTGTATGCTCTCTAGTTTCTCTAGTTGTCTCTTGTACCTCCCAGGATCCGCCTCATAGCTTCATTCTGTATGCTCTCTAGTTTCTCTAGTTGTCTCTTGTACATCCCAGGATCCGCCTCATAGCTTCATTCTGTATGCTCTCTAGTTTCTCTAGCTGTCTCTTGTACATCCCAGGATCCGCCTTATAGCTTCATTCTGTATGCTCTCTAGTTTCTCTAGCTCTCTCTTGTACATCCCGGGATCCGCCTCATAGCTTCATTCTGTATGCTCTCCAGTTTCTCTAGCTGTCTCGTGTACATCCCAGGATCCGCCTCATAGCTTCATTCTGTATGCTCTCTAGTTTCTCTAGTTGTCTCTTGTACATCCCAGGATCCGCCTCATAACTTCATTCTGTATGCTCTCTAGTTTCTCTAGTTGTCTCTTGTACATCCCAGGATCCGCCTCATAGCTTCATTTTGTATGCTCTTTAGTTTCTCTAGCTGTCTCTTGTACATCCCGGGATCCGCCTTATAGCTTCATTCTGTATGCTCTCTAGTTTCTCTAGCTCTCTCTTGTACATCCCGGGATCCGCCTCATAACTTCATTCTGTATGCTCTCCAGTTTCTCTAGTTGTCTCTTGTACATCCCAGGATCCGCCTTATAGCTTTATTCTGTATGCTCTCCAGTTTCTCTAGCTGTCTCTTGTACATCCCAGGATCCGCCTCATAGCTTCATTCTGTATGCTCTCTAGTTTCTCTAGTTGTCTCTTGTACATCCCAGGATCCGCCTCATAGCTTCATTCTGTATGCTCTCTAGTTTCTCTAGTTGTCTCTTGTACATCCCAGGATCCGCCTCATAGCTTCATTCTGTATGCTCTCTAGTTTCTCTAGTTGTCTCTTGTACATCCAGGATCCGCCTCATAGCTTCATTCTGTATGCTCTCTAGTTTCTCTAGTTGTCTCTTGTACATCCCAGGATCCGCCTCATAGCTTCATTCTGTATGCTCTCTAGTTTCTCTAGTTGTCTCTTGTACATCCCAGGATCCGCCTCATAGCTTCATTCTGTATGCTCTCTAGTTTCTCTAGTTGTCTCTTGTACATCCCAGGATCCGCCTCATAGCTTCATTCTGTATGCTCTCTAGTTTCTCTATTTGTCTCTTGTACATCCCAGGATCCGCCTCATAGCTTCATTCTGTATGCTCTCTAGTTTCTCTAGTTGTCTCTTGTACATCCCAGGATCCGCCTCATAGCTTCATTCTGTATGCTCTCTAGTTTTCTCTAGCTGTCTCTTGTACATCCCAGGATCCGCCTTATAGCTTCATTCTGTATGCTCTCTAGTTTCTCTAGCTCTCTCTTGTACATCCCGGGATCCGCCTCATAGCTTCATTCTGTATGCTCTCCAGTTTCTCTAGCTGTCTCGTGTACATCCCAGGATCCGCCTCATAGCTTCATTCTGTATGCTCTCTAGTTTCTCTAGTTGTCTCTTGTACATCCCAGGATCCGCCTCATAGCTTCATTCTGTATGCTCTCTAGTTTCTCTAGTTGTCTCTTGTACATCCCAGGATCCGCCTCATAGCTTCATTCTGTATGCTCTCTAGTTTCTCTAGTTGTCTCTTGTACATCCCAGGATCCGCCTCATAGCTTCATTCTGTATGCTCTCTAGTTTCTCTAGCTGTCTCTTGTACATCCCAGGATCCGCCTTATAGCTTCATTCTGTATGCTCTCTAGTTTCTCTAGCTCTCTCTTTTACATCCCGGGATCCGCCTCATAGCTTCATTCTGTATGCTCTCCAGTTTCTCTAGCTGTCTCGTGTACATCCCAGGATCCGCCTTATAGCTTCATTCTGTATGCTCTCTAGTTTCTCTAGTTGTCTCTTGTACATCCCAGGATCCGCCTCATAGCTTCATTCTGTATGCTCTCTAGTTTCTCTAGTTGTCTCTTGTACATCCCAGGATCCGGCTCATAGCTTCATTCTGTATGCTCTCCAGTTTCTCTAGTTGTCTCTTGTACATCCCAGGATCCGCCTCATAGCTTCATTCTGTATGCTCTCCAGTTTCTCTAGTTGTCTCTTGTACATCCCAGGATCCGCCTCATAGCTTCATTCTGTATGCTCTCCAGTTTCTCTAGTTGTCTCTTGTACATCCCAGGATCCGCCTTATAGCTTCATTCTGTATGCTGTCCAGTTTCTCTAGTTGTCTCTTGTACATCCCAGGATCCGCCTTATAGCTTTATTCTGTATGCTCTCCAGTTTCTCTAGCTGTCTCTTGTACATCCCAGGATCCGCCTCATAGCTTCATTCTGTATGCTCTCTAGTTTCTCTAGTTGTCTCTTGTACATCCAAGGATCCGCCTCATAGCTTCATTCTGTATGCTCTCTAGTTTCTCTAGTTGTCTCTTGTACATCCCAGGATCCGCCTCATAGCTTCATTCTGTATGCTCTCTAGTTTCTCTAGTTGTCTCTTGTACATCACAGGATCCGCCTCATAGCTTCATTCTGTATGCTCTCTAGTTTCTCTAGTTGTCTCTTGTACATCCCAGGATCCGCCTCATAGCTTCATTCTGTATGCTCTCTAGTTTCTCTAGTTGTCTCTTGTACATCCCAGGATCCGCCTCATAGCTTCATTCTGTATGCTCTCTAGTTTCTCTAGTTGTCTCTTGTACATCCCAGGATCCGCCTCATAGCTTCATTCTGTATGCTCTCTAGTTTCTCTAGCTGTCTCTTGTACATCCCAGGATCCGCCTTATAGCTTCATTCTGTATGCTCTCTAGTTTCTCTAGCTCTCTCTTGTACATCCCGGGATCCGCCTCATAGCTTCATTCTGTATGCTCTCCAGTTTCTCTAGCTGTCTCTTGTACATCCCAGGATCCGCCTTATAGCTTCATTCTGTATGCTCTCTAGTTTCTCTAGCTGTCTCTTGTACATCCCAGGATTCGCCTCATAGCTTCATTCTGTATGCTCTCCAGTTTCTCTAGTTGTCTCTTGTACATCCCAGGATCCGCCTCATAGCTTCATTCTGTATGCTCTCTAGTTTCTCTAGCTGTCTCTTGTACATCCCAGGATCCGCCTCATAGCTTCATTCTGTATGCTCTCCAGTTTCTCTAGTTGTCTCTTGTACATCCCAGGATCCGCCTCATAGCCTTATTCTGTATGCTCTCCAGTTTCTCTAGCTGTCTCTTGTACATCCTAGGATCCGCCTCATAGCTTCATTCTGTATGCTCTCTAGTTTCTCTAGTTGTCTCTTGTACATCCCAGGATCCGCCTCATAGCTTCATTCTGTATGCTCTCTAGTTTCTCTAGTTGTCTCTTGTACATCCCAGGATCCGCCTTATAGCTTCATTCTGTCTGCTCTCCAGTTTCTCTAGTTGTCTCTTGTACATCCCAGGATCCGCCTCATAGCTTCATTCTGTATGCTCTCTAGTTTCTCTAGTTGTCTCTTGTACATCCCAGGATCCGCCTCATAGCTTCATTCTGTATGCTCTCTAGTTTCTCTAGTTGTCTCTTGTACATCCCATGATCCGCCTCATAGCTTCATTCTGTATGCTCTCCAGTTTCTCTAGTTGTCTCTTGTACATCCCAGGATCCGCCTTATAGCTTCATTCTGTATGCTCTCCAGTTTCTCTAGTTGTCTCTTGTTCATCCCAGGATCCGCCTCATAGCTTCATTCTGTATGCTCTCCAGTTTCTCTAGTTGTGTCTTGTACATCCCAGGATCCGCCTTATAGCTTCATTCTGTATGCTGTCCAGTTTCTCTAGTTGTCTCTTGTACATCCCAGGATCCGCCTTATAGCTTCATTCTGTATGCTCTCCAGTTTCTCTAGTTGTCTCTTGTACATCCCAGGATCCGCCTCATAGCTTCATTCTGTATGCTCTCCAGTTTCTCTAGTTGTCTCTTGTACATCCCAGGATCCGCCTCATAGCTTCATTCTGTATGCTCTCTAGTTTCTCTAGTTGTCTCTTGTACATCCCAGGATCCGCCTCATAGCTTCATTCTGTATGCTCTCCAGTTTCTCTAGTTGTCTCTTGTACATCCCAGGATCCGCCTTATAGCTTCATTCTGTTTGCTCTCCAGTTTCTCTAGTTGTCTCTTGTACATCCCAGGATCCGCCTCATAGCTTCATTCTGTATGCTCTCCAGTTTCTCTAGTTGTCTCTTGTACATCCCAGGATCCGCCTCATAGCTTCATTCTGTATGCTCTCTAGTTTCTCTAGCTGTCTCTTCATGATAGAGAGTGGATCCAGGTCCTGACAGAGCCGGACCTTTTCTTTCAGATGTTACCTTAGTTCCCATAACTGACCCGGCCTCAATGGGTGCAAGATAAAAGTCATGGAAAGTCCAGGAGGCTGGTATGACTACATCACTCACCCAATGCTCATTGCTTTATCAAATGGAGATCTAGCCCTATATGCCTAATACGCCTGAAGGGGTGGAAAATGGTCGTTTACTTACTCAGTTTACCGATATAATGGTGCTATATAGCTATGCGGTTAAAGGGGGTTTATGGGATTTCTACCTGTTTGATTCTCATCCTTCAGATGATAAATGATAATTCGGCTTCAGTTCTGAATGAGAAAAACTAAACAAATAAAAATCAAAAAACCTCCTCTCGCCGTAGGAGTGCACTCTTGCAGATTTCTGTTTAGTGAACTAGAAAGCGAGGTCGTCGTGACAACAGAGACTGATGGGAAAGAAAAGGATTGGTCAATAGAGATGATTTATAACGATATCCACTCTTTTACCTTTATTTATTAATTTTAAATATTCAAAAATCACAAATTCAGCTGTAGAGGGAAGTGTAAACATCCAGAGCATCATAGTGGGAGCCATTGTAGCTACAGTCTTTCCTGTCGATCTAAAGATCTTGGGTTCAAATCCGAATGGAGTCAGAATAATACAATTGATAACAGGCTTCCGTGACTTTGTCTCCCAGATCAACCTGGCCTTGAGTGGTATAGGTATAGTCCTGGGAAGTAAAGGCGACCAGCATGATGCTGACTACATTACCCTTTAAATGTCGATTGGTCGATAAAATTATTGAATGCCTAATATGCGTAAGGGCGTGGAGAAGGGACCTTTACTCTTACTTGATTGACCGAATTTTTTTTTTTTTTTTTTTTTTGAAGTATCCAGAAGCCATGAGTTGTTTACTCTTACGCTCGGTATTATGGATATCGCAACCCTTCGGCCTTGATTCCATGATAAATACCGTAAATCTGGGAGAAATGTGGCTTTTCTGCCTACCCCCAGGCGTGAAACCGGACCACAAGGAGTTTGTCACCCGGCCACAGCCCAATCCGGTTTAGCCAAATACGCTAGCGAGCCGTTCATTGACCGAATATAAAATTGGTGACCAGAAACATCATGGGAGGTAATTGTTTCTGGCGTGATTTTCACCACATGACTGATCAAATGGCGTTTGTTCTTTACAGTTTATGGGTCTATCACCAAACGGAGATGCATTAGTGGCGTAAAAAATGTTCACTGCATTAATTGTTGTTTCTTACCAACTTTTCTCTTCCCTATAATTTTCTACTTCTTATAAAAACATTACTTTACCTGCACCGACACACAACAAACGGACCGACCTAATCTTCTATTGCAGGCT